TCAGGAAAGAGAGCCTTTAGTCTTCCATCTTTATCTAGAACTCCAGAGGAGGACTATTTTAGGATATAGAAGACCTAAACAGGTGAAGGAGAAGCTAACGCATAGGAGATCTGAGAAGGGTCAGGCGGGAAGAATAACCTTGGAGAGAAGGGCATAGCTTCCTCACTGACAGGAGGACAAAAACACAGGGAGACTATAAAAGAGAAATTTTAGGCCAGTGGGAAGAAAATTGAAGGTGTAAAAGGGAACTTGCTTAGGAGAAGCAGCAATCCACTTTTCTTCATTTATTCAGCGCTTGTTTTTTGTTTTGTTTTTTATCATAAACATGTTCTATTCCTTGCAATGGCGAAATAGCAAAGAACAAGACAGACGAGCGCCTGTTCTCAGTGACTTCACTTTCTCATACAAAAGCCGTGCCATGAGCACGTGAACAACAATAAAAAGAGGCTATTTTTTTAATCAGGGTCTATGATAGAAAATAAGGGAGCAGTGGCATCACTGGCGAGGCATCCGTGAAGAGGTGATGTTGAAGCTAGATCTGAAGGAACAGAAAATCCACCCCCGTGAAAATGGGGGAAGGGCGTTCATGGCACAGAGAGTAGAAAATGCTATGGCCTTGAGGCGGGAAAGAGCTTAGGAGTTTCAGGAACAATCAAATTGCCAGCTGGAACTTAAGAAACAAGAGAGAAAACGGTACAGACTGAGGCTGGAGAGAAAGGCAGGCACCAAATCATACCAGCACTTACAGAAGCTGGGTGTTTATTCTCACATTATTTGTGCAGCCAGAAGCGCTAAGGAAGGACCTAAATGTAGATATGTGAATAAACTATAAATTCTACCAAGAAGATGATAGTCGAAAGAGATGTAAAAGGCATAACATCAACATGTGCTTTAGAAACTCTCTAAATGAAGATCCTAGTTGGAAGGCAGTTTGAGCAAAATGCATTCCATAAAAGATAAAATGTTACAGCCTCATAATTATAAGTAGAGGAATTCTATGTCACACTTGTAGGAATGAGTACTAGAAACTAATTGCCCTCTGGAACCAAAGATACTATAACATTTCAGAGGGCCCGGGGCTCCACGATGCGTTTGTTAACTTGAGGCTATGGCTGAGGGAAGTCATCCAGGATTAGAGTACTTGTGGACTCAGGATCACCTAGCTCTGGAAAGTGAGAAGACAAGGGTCGTGTCAAAATGAGACATTTACTCTGTGCACGGGGGGCCATCTGAGACATAGCCAGCTAGCATCCAGCACATGCAACATATTCTCATGCTTTGTGTATTTGGAAAGAAATCACAACTGGAAACATGTCCAAATAGTACCTCTCAGCAACAGTATGACCATGGAAATAACTGATGGGAAAGCAAATCATGAATAAGAGATCTGGAAGCAAAGTAATAGAGCCCCAAAACAACTTAAATTTTTTCCAATCAGTTTTTGGTAAAGTCTGAGTACAAGTAGTAGATTACTTGTAAAAGGGAAAGAGATTTCATAGGATCATGTCATGCTGACACTGAAGACTTTACAGATATATTTATTTATTTCTTCCTTCTCTCCCTTTCTCCTTCCCTCATTCCACAGTAAATGTTTGAGATCATGCTAATGGCCTTTCTGGACCAATCTGTAGATAAGTGACTTTTCTCTTTAGCCTCCATTGTGGTGCTGTGCTATACCGAAACATGCTTTGCATTCTAATCTGTTTGACTAAATTCCAAAGAATTTCCCTCCGTTCAGTAAAGCTTCTTCTTCGAAGCAAACTAAAGCTAGGTGACTTCAGCTTCTGTTAGACTCCGTATGAGAGACTCCTTACAGAAAGAGACAAAGTGTGACTCCAGTTTACTTTTGCATCCATTTCTCATAGTTCCTTGGGTTCATATGAGGCCTCAGTGACTTGCTGTAACACAAGTATTTTGTCTGGGAAGCCTGAAGGACTGGAAAGTGACGGTGCACCTTCCACTCTCAGTTCAAGTACAGTATTCTGGTCCTGGCAGCTGAGAGGCAGCAGGTGTGTGCTGAGGACTAGCTGCCCATTGGTCCTGGCTGCACAAGGAGCTTCTTCACAACAGTGAGACGTTTCAGTATCATCCAGCCTGTCCAAGAGAACCTATTTTTGTTTCATATCCGTGCCCTGGTAGTAGAGCTCAAAATTATTTTCGGTTTGCTGATGACCATACCATCAAGAGGATATCAGCACAGGAAGCCAAGGAGCTACCATCTGTGCTGTGTTTATATCTCAGGAACTATTTAGAAGGCTGGTTACTCAGCGATGCCTCTTGCCCTTCTAGTGTTACACTAAGAATGGTGACTTACACTTTCTTGAAAGTCATCCTTATAATAACCCTTATAATTCCCTCAACAGATGATAAAGGGTCCAAGGATAGGCCAAATTGTGCTATGAAGTATTGATCTCCCAATGCTTTCCATGTGGTAGGGACTAATGATTATTCATAGTCAACAGAAAGTAACTCTTATCCTTGGGGTGTTGGTAAATGACTAATAATCGGCTCTCCCAGGAAAAAGTACCCGATCAGTAGCATTGGCTGATTTCCATAGTGGAATATTAAGAACATCTTTATAAATTCAAAAACTTAGATAACATGGAGAAATTCCACAAAAGGCAAAAATGAGTAAAACTTACGAAAAAAAACAGAAAACCTGAAAACTCTTTATCTCTTAAAGAACTTGAATTCACAATTAAATCTCACAAGAAAACTTAACAAGTCCAGATAGCTGCACTGGAGAAGTATATCAAATAGGTAAAGAAGAAATAATACCAATCTTGCACAAAGCCCTTCAGAAAATAGAGGAGGGAACACTTCCCAATTTATCTTGTGAGGCCAGCATTATCCTGTTACCAAAATTAGAAAAAGACATTATGAGAGAAGAAAACTAATTACAGGTCGATATACTTTATGAATAAAGATGAAAAAAAAATCCTAACAAAATATCAGTAATTTGAATCCAGCAATATATAAAAGTTATAATACAGAATGACCAAGATTTAAAGGTTGGCTTAACATTTAAAAAAAATCAATTGATATAAGTCATCATATTAACAGAAGAAAAGAGAAAAACTATTATATATGGTCACCTCAAGATACACAGCAAAACTATCTGGAAAAAAGTCAGCACTCATTCATTACATAAATAAATTAAGAATAGCATAAATTTTCCTCAACTTTATGAAAGGCATGTAAGGAAAACCTGCAGCTACCTGGATCTATCTGGACAGGGAATCCCAGGGCGGTGGTTTCCTGGGATGTTGTCTAGAAGAAGAGGGGTGCAGGCTCTGGGTAGAGAAGCCATTTGGCCCTGGGACCGCCTCACTCCTTGGGTAGGTGGCTGGGGTCGGGCCTTCCAGAGCAGGACATCTCAAACTTTTATGTGCACATGAACAACCTTGGGGTCTTATCAAAATACAGGGTCAGAACTTATCAGGATGGGAGGTGGCATGTTGCACATCTAACAAGCTCTCAGGTGCTACTAATTTTTGGGAACCCATGTTGAGTAGCAAGGCTGTAATGCATGGGGCCCAGGTCAGAGGACAGGGAATGCTGATAGGCACTACGGTGGACGTCTGTAGTGGAATGAATTAACTACAATTATGGATAACTCAAAATTATTCATTGTACTTGAAAGATCCGATTTGATAGTTAACCTCAGCTAATAGTTTTTGTTTCTTTTTTTCATTCTGTGCATTTTGTCAATAGTTGAAAATAGTTGACCCAAATGCAGGGTAAACAACTGGGGACCCTAATCTTCTATGAAAACTATGTATGTAATCTAGAGTGGACTATTGTAATGGTTATTCAGTGTGTTTTATGAAAGAGTAAATATTCATAGCATCCTAAGTGTTAAGGATGAATATTGGGGGGGGGCCAAGATCACCCATCTCATAGCTGAGACATGTGGAATAGAACTTTGGAACCCATCTGATTACCAGCCTTGAGCTATATAACCACCAGGGGGTTTATAAAAAGTGGCATTAAAATATTTGTTATTTTTATTAATAAAATGTGGAGACATGATGACTTATAAGAAATGAGATTAAAATTGTTTCTGTTGAATATTTATGCTGCATTTTATCACTCTATAGTATTTATTATTTGAGACATAACTCTGCAGAGAATTTGATCTCTCCCTCAGGGTGGTTCTCTTTTCCTATGCTACATTTATTGACTATTTACAAAAGCATTCACTTCTTCTTTTAAATTCTATGCTGAAGGATGAGACCTTGGGCTAGTCATTTCTTTCTTGTGACTCTGAACGTATTTTCTCATCATTAATTTGAAGGAAGATGATAATACATTGAGTACTCTCTTTTAATGACTATGTTGCCAAAGGGTCAAAATCAACCTCTGGAGCCCAGATGAACTTTTAACTTATTCCAAGAGAATTAGGAATCTTCCTTTGCCCTTCCTACACTCTTTTCAGTGCAGCTGAAGCCCCTGCTATATAAATTAATACATTTGCTCTCAATGTGACTTCAGGACATTTTATAGCAGTGATTTCAATGCTGTTAGTGGTAAAATAGAAACTTGAGAATGTGAACATTAATTTGAACCACATGATGGGTTCAAGGAAAAGGGACATCCACTACAGATTCTTGAATGTGTGCTAACCCCGTACAGTGGGGAATGGGATCCAAAAACCACCAGTGAACTTTTCAACCCTCTTGAGAGGAATCAAACCAACACAATTAGCCCTGAAAGGGAGCTGTTGCAGACGACAGACAGCCCGTTTCTCTCTCCCTCCCCAACAGATCCCTTTGCCTGAAGGGACACTATTGAGAGATGGAGGAAAGTGGAGGGACCCCAGCTGTTTCCACTAATGGCGTGAAGGGAGAACTATCTTTCCGGTCATTAGCTGGTTTACTGATTGGTCTTTCATTATAGGTTACAAATTCTGTTGGGTTTTTTGAACAATAGATAATTGACAAATTGTATGTTGTGGATAGTTGGTGAATTTGAAGTAAAGGATTTCTTTTCTCTTCCAGTTTGTTGTAGCAGTATTCTGGATCATTTATGCCTATGACAGAGAGATGATTTACCCGAAGTTGCTTGATAATTTTATCCCAGGGTGGCTGAATCACGGAATGGTGAGTGGACTAAAACAAATGATTTCCTTTTGTTTGTTTTTTTGTTTGTTTTTAAATCTGTTAAAGAGCTATTTTCTAGCTTAGGCTTTCCGTAGAATTTATCTATCTGTGATATGTTGGAAGGCTATCATGCAGTTATAACTAGAGAACAATTCTGTAAACAAAAAATGTAAACAAAAACACATCTTCCCATGCCACTAAGTCACTATTAAAAAGATGTAGTAGATGAGTCCACAGTATGTAAGAGGCATCAGTGGTGTTAGATAATACAGCTAGCTCATTCATGGGTGAATTTGATTTTGGGGCCACTAAAAAGATTGTCCCCTGTTAGGGGATCAATTCCCACTTGTGCAACTGTTGACACCCTGCTCTTCCCCCGACCCCTCCCCTCACATCAATGGGATTGTGTTGGAAACAACTGCATACTGCACTTGGAGAGTTTCCCCCAGAGGAGCAGCATGGCTGTTCTGTTCCCTGGGAGATCTGCTGCAGGCATTGGAGGGGTCCTGAGCAGTGGCTGTCTGCCTTGTCGGGGTCTGCTCGTCCAAGGGTATTTGCCTGTGGCTGCAAGGTCTTTTCCTTCTTCTCTAATTATTTCTGGTGCATTAGCCATGCTGTTACCTTCACAAGTTTCAAATCAAATGCTTTGAATGGTTTGCATATCTTTTCCCAAGATTTGGAGAGAGATTTTCTGCAGAAAAGTTGTGTATTGTCTTCCCTTTCTGCTTCTGGAATGGAGCACAGTTTTGGTATTACCTAAGAAGCCTTGCATTTTTGGGTTACAGAAATTTTTAGACTGCCAATGGGTGCTCTTGGTGAAAAGGGCAACCCATCACAGAAATTATAGGGGCGCAAAGAGCTAGAAACTAGGTGTCTTAGGTCCAAAATAATAGTTTCCCTTCTGCCCCTAATTCTGGTATATTTTAAGAAAAGTGGTGTGTACTAACAAGCAAACATTACTATACTAAGGGGCTTTGATCAATCCTTTTGTAAGCCAGTTTATCAAAAGCGGCCCATCTCAGAGAACTGGAAGTTTCTTTGAGTCCAGTTAGAGCCACACTGTTGAAGGATTAATGTGGCACCTCTGGTCTAGTTTCCAACAAATCAGCTGGGTCTTATCAGTTCAATTTAACCATCTGAGGGGCCTGACCTAGTTACTCTGCCCCTCTCCAACTTGGTCCTTTTCTCAAATGTGAAAGCCCTTTCATGGCTCTATGTCTTTGCAATCTCTGCCCCAAACACCTTTCCCATTCTTTGCTGGGCAACTCCTGCTCATCTTGCTAGCTTATATAACATGTTCTCTGAGAAGTCTTTCCTCACCCTCCCAACCCAAGTTCTCCCTTCTGTCAGTTTGTTCTTGCACAGCACTTTCATATGTCTATTATACATGTATGTGTCTCCCACAACAATGTCACCCTTTTAGGGCAAAACGGAACGCTCTGCCCAACAGCCTGGCTTATAGCAGGATCAGTACCTATTTATTAAATTGATGAATGAATTCAGTATTGCCAATTTCTGTAATTCCTTGCCCGTCAGTACTAACAGCTACTATTTTTGAGAACCTACTGTGTGCCAGACATTCCATCGTGGTTATATCATTTAATTTTCACAATGGTACTACGAATGATAAAGTATTATCCCTTTTACAGATGAAGAAACTTAGGCTCAGAAAGTTTCCAGCCCCAGAAGGGCCTTAGCTGAGAACAAATGGTGCATCATGTACTATAGAAGTACAGTCCACACTATCTGGGCTATTGCCCACATCCCTAAAATGCACACTATTACCTTCGGGCCAGAGAATGAATCACAACCTTCGCAGAGCCTGGAGCTATTTGATGTTTCGAGCGAACAGTTTATGGAGCGTGTATGCAGCCATTAGAACTTCAACTTGACTCTCATCACTTTCCCTTGATTCACTTTGATGGGCTAAAATTCTCCATCTTGGAGGCAAACACTACTTGGAAATGCAAGGAGGATTTGAGTGACACCAATCCTTAGGAAAGGGAAAATATAAATTAATTAACATGTCAGATCCTCTCAGAGAATAGGAGCTCAAGATTGTTTCACAATGAATTTTGTCTCTTGGTAAAGATGAATGACTATTTCTTTGCTTTTCTTCATGTTCCAATTCATGGCTCCAGAGTTACTAACAAAAAGTTGCATAGGATGGCTGACAAATATTTTTCAATCTTAAATAATTTACATGACTCTAAATTTGTATATAAGAAACTTTAAATACAAATGTGCCTAAAGCATGATACTGATTCTTTAGAATTGCAAGTAAAATATGAACATTAAGTGCAGGAATCATGAATAATTCAATTTTTATAAAAATGTGTAGTAAGGTTTATGAAATATCAAAACATTGAATAAGCATTTTCAGCTTTGTTTAAATTTTATTTAAAGGTTTAATCTTAAGTAATTATAATTTGCATTTGCTTTTAATTTTAATATGTAATTTTGAATATTGAATTTTAAAAATATAAACATAATTCAGTTAAAAATTTTTAAGTTTATTTTAATGTTCATATTTTGATGAAAATATTCATATTGTGTATAGTTTAATTCTAATTATATTTTATATTTAATTGATGTTGGATTTAGATTAGAGTAACACTATCAGGAGAACTCAAATTTTGTGAAAATTTCCAATTTCTTTAGTGAATTTGCTGAAATAAAGGCAAGAACAAAATTTGGAATATTTACATTATTATATTAAATATTTTATATTTGGATGACTTAGAATAGTAACACACCACTGATATGTAACTACTCCATTATCTCTTGGCTCCGTGAAAATAGCACACACACAAAAACAAATTTTAATTGAATTCAATTAAAAATATAAACATATAAATATAGCATATTTAAAATGGAGTCAGTTCAGTACTCAAAATAAAAAACCATCTATCCTTGAAGCCATTATTTATCTCTGTATTCTGAGCAACTCAAAAAGCATACGATGCCCATAAGGCACTCACTAAGTATTGATGATAAAAAAGAGTTTGTGCATTTGCTTTTGAAACTTGGAAGATGTCAGGTCTGCATTTATATCCTTGTACCACCTTTCTGTGCTGAGTTTACTGATGACCAGACAGAAGAAAAACAGAGGTGATATCATCAAGTGAATCAGTTTCTAAGGTGTAATGAGACTGATGATGGACCGTTGTGGGAGGGTTCTGTATGGATGCAATGTGTGGGAGCTGAGCTTTGATTTAATTCAATCTAGCAAACAGTTATTGAAACCCCATGACATGCAAAGCACCTTGCTAGGCACTATGTGGTTACAGGTTGAGAAAAATATGTGCAATTTTAAAGGATGGAAGTGGCATGTTTGAAGTAGAGGAAGGTATTGGGTCTTTGGAAAAGTCCTGACGCATGTTTGCAACAGATGGCACTAGTTCATTTTTGGAAGTACTGGAGTCATTCGCATCTATGTTATTGCTGTGTCATTTGACAGCTGACAGTTCTAGCTTCATTCTAAAACAAAATTGAGCTATTTGGTTGAGTTTTGAAGATTTTACAAGTTGAAGATGGAAGACCAATTGCATTTTCGCCATATTTTATTGTTTTACTTCCATAAAGGGAAGAATGCACGTCAAGCTTGTGGAAGGTTGCATAAAGTTTACAGTGACAACGCTCTACAAGAACGTCAGTGCCAACGATGGTTCACGAAATTCCGTGCTGGTGATTTTTATCTCAACAACGCTCCTCGGTCAGGGAGACCCACCGAGGTTGATGACGACAAAATAAAGGCATTGATCAAGTCAAACCCACGTTACACGCCATGAGAGATTGCAGGAACATTGAACAGCCATCATTCAAGTGTTCACAACCACCTGAAGAAGCTGGGATACGCAAGCAAGCTCGATATTTGGGTTCTGCATGAGCTCAAAGAAGTTCATTTGATGGTGCGCATAAACATCTGCAATATGCTCATTACATGTGAGGAAAACGACCCTTTTCTGAAGCAACTGATAACTGGTGATGAGAAGTGGATTGTTTACAACAATGTGGTGCACAAATGGTCTTGGTCCCCATATGATGATTCGCCTCAAACGACATCGAAAGCAGACATTCATCAGAGGAAGGTTATGCTCTCAGTGTGGTGGGATTTTAAAGGTGTCGTATTTTTTGAGCTCCTACCAAGGAACCAAACAATCAATTAGAATGTGTACTGTTGGAAATTGGAGAGTTTGAATGAATCCATCATCCAGAAACGTCCAGAGTTTATTAATTGTAAAGGTGTTGTGTTCCATCATGACAACACGAGACCACACACAAGTTTGATCACCCATCAAAAATTATTGCAGCTTGAATGGGATGTGTTGCCACACCCACCATACTCGCCTGACCTTGCGCCATCAGACTTCCACTTGTTCCGCTCTCTTCAAAACTCCTTGCGTGGTATAACGTTCAATTCAGATGAGGCTGTAAATCAGCACCTTGTTCAGTTTTTCACAAAGACAGGTCCTTCTATGAACGAGGAATTATGAAGCTCACTGAAAGATGGCAAAAGGTTACTGAACACAACGGGCAATATATCATTGATTGATCTTTGTTCTTTATATAAATAAATGACCTTTGAAAAACATAGACAAAATACATCATGACTTTTCCGAAGATCCAATTAGTAGAAAAACAGTTCCACAAGTGAACAGAGTAATCCCCAGTAGGCTGTGTTCATTCTGACAAGGAGAAGCACTATTACTATTCTGGCATGTTCCTTTGCTGCAAAAATAGAACCCTGAACCTTTCTCTTCTGCTGATTATAATTTTAAAGCATTTTCAGTGGAGTAAATATACAGAGAGAGAGAGAGAGAGAGAGAGAGAGAGAGAGAGAGAGAGAGGAAAAGGGAAGGAAGGGAGGGAGGGAGGGAAAGAGAGAGAGAGAGAGAGAGGGAGGGAGGGAGAGAGAGAGAGAGAAAGAAAGAAAGAGAGAGAAAGAGTGAAAGAAAGAAAAAAGAAAAAGATTTAAACTCTGGAAAGATTACAGATTC